GGTCCCTCCTGACCCTAGCTACTATGAAACTATGAAGCACTGGAACATGTTACCTAGAGAGGTGGTGGAATCTCCATCCTTGAAAGTTTTTAAGGTCTGACTAAACAAAGCTCTGACTGGAATGATCTAGTTGGGGGTGGTCCTGCTTTGAGCAGGGATTTGGACTGGATGACCTCCTGAGACCCCTTCCAACCCTAATTTTCTGATTCTATCCATGATTTGTCCCCATATGAAATGCACCTGATGGGGACTTTATGAGCAGTGGCCTTCAAGTAGACATTGAATGACAATGTGGCTTTTCAAAAGAAGAAACAAAAGGTATCAAGAGCCAATGTGAAAATAACTGACCCCGCAGATTTTCAATGGGTTTCTCAAGCCCTCAGGTGTAAAAACCAAACCCCCTTCCCACAGTGCACGGGTGGAATTCCTACCCCGCTTAGTAACAACTTAAAATATGTACAAACTACCAGGCTGTTATGTGTTCTTCCACCTAGCTGTAGGCTTATGAAGTAAATGTGGACTGAGTTACTCTACACTGCAGTTTCAGTTACAAGATTATGGCAAAAGCTCATGATACTCTAGCTCTTCTGAGTTCCTGGCTCATTTGGGCTGCAGCTTGATTCATACAGGCACAGATAGGGGCACTAAAGTCTTCTGAGAAGCCACCTTGATAACTCTCTCAAGGGGTGGTATTTTAATGGCCTCTGTTGGCATGATATACTGCCACCTTTCACAGAAAAAATGGATTCTGAAAACCTTAGGTCCAGATAAATTCTATTTCTTGACCTCATTCCATTTCAGGGCAAAATATAAGTAGGCAGTCAGTTAAAGGAGGTTTTTAGTCAGTAGTAATAAATCCTTATGTGGGATTCTTAAGTGAGATTCTGGTGTGGAAAATAAGTAGAAAGCAGTGGGCAAGTGAAGGTGGCAGTTTGAAAGACTTCTGCTGCTTCTCCACTCATATGCAGTATCCTCAATTATGCTACAGCTTAACCAATGATACAACATAAGCTCTACTGTATCAAGCCATTCCTCTGTTCTCTGGTGTCTAGATTTGTTAAAATCTAGTATATTCTGCAAGTTCATCCTTTTTTGGAGTATCAGGAAAGAGTCAGTTCCTCCCAATTAGATATGTGACTGATCATGATTTCACTATTGTGATTTTATATGTGCATCTCAATGCTCAAATTCATTTTGCATATTGTATGTACTTTGGTAACATCATGTTTCCAGTGTTATAAGAGCACTTAAGAATTGGCACTTGAAAGAAAGATGGAAATAAAACAAGAAAGAAGTTAAGGAACCCCTATATTATTTGATGCATTTATGTTTCAGATTAAGCTTGGCAGAAGTAAGAAAAAATATATTAGCCTTGCTTGTAAAAAAGCAAATTTTTTCTTCAGAGAATATTTTGTGTAGGCAATAAACAATGCAGAGTATTAATGACCTAATAAAGCTCCCTATCATAATGTGAAACTACTTGACACTTCTTTATGCTTTTCTCTACAAGCATATTTAGTTTTATTGTGTAAGTGCTCAGCAAGGTCATTTTCGTTAAAACTATATTACATATTGCATCAGCCAAACTTGTTCTATAACTTAACTATAGAACTACTCCATTGGAAAAAAAATTTCTTAGGTAATCTCAACCCAAAATATATGTAAGTTTAAATATTTTCTTAAACAGAATCTTTCTGAATTGGAAATATGAAGAAAAAGATAATAAAAGACAATATACTTCCATTCTCTAGCATAACATGGCATTTTAGCTACTCACTGAAATATAAGATTGTGAGGACTCAGGGATTTGAAATAGGGAGAAGGACTACATTAGAGCAGCAATTCCCAATTTGTGGTACATGTACAACACAGACAACCTGTCAGTGGTATGCGTTAACAGATGTATTATAATTACTCTATATGACAAAAAATTGCTGGTGGTACTTAAGGTTATATATTTCATATTGGTGGTGCACAGTCTGTCAGGGTTTGGGAACCACTGCATTACAGCACTTGGCATAAGTGCCTCCATCTTGTATATAATCTCCATTGTATAAAGATACAAAGTGTATATTATTTTTATAAATATGTAAATAAAATAACAAATCTGGATTAATCTTGTCTAAAGACAAGCTTGCAAGCCCAGATTCCATGATTTTACTAATTTAAATAGGAACACACCAAGAGTGTGTCTACACATGTGTGGCGGTGGGGTACACCTGTGAGGGCCAGAAGCGCTGACACTGATAGTCCCAGAGGAGGGATCAGGGACCCCAGTGCCACAGAAAACTTACCCAGGAGGCAGGACAAGATGGAGAAGGAACTGCATGAGCTAGCACTGCGCCGGCTCTTCAAGTAGCTTTCCATTAAGCTGGGCAGTGGGCAGCTGATGACATGAGCTGGGACCACTGCCACAGGAGATTTAAAAACCTGGACAGAAGCCAGGTGCAGAGGGAAAATCAGGAGGTGAGATGCTGGGCATGCTGAGGGCTGGTGCAAGGGAGCAGATGACCCCCATGACTCTGCCCCACTGCTAACGGGTGATGGCAAGAGTGGGAAACCAGCCAAGGCTGCGCAAACCTTGGCCCCTGGGAAAGGGGTTCATGGTTGGCAGTTCCCTACAGGAGGTGCGACTGGCTTTATCGACCCCAGCACTGAGGCAGGCACCTTAAACCCAGGGTTGGTGTAGCAAGGGAGGTGGACTAAGGAGGAAGAGGGGTGAGCCAGGCTGAACTTCCAAGCCTGTGCTTCCAAGGACAGCTGAGGAGGCAGAGGCTTCTGAGGGAGCTTGATGAGCTGAAGCCTGGAGTTGGCGTGGCAACTTGGAGATCTACATGGTTGCTGAGTGGAAGGGGTGTAGGGGAGGTGGAGTCACAGGAGCAACCACGGTAAGCCAGTGAGTATCCTGTCTCTGGGTCGGGGGGAAGGAACAACACTGAACCCTTCCTTTCAGTTGTAATTCCATCAAGTCATGGCAGGAAAGTCAGAGGCCCAGACCCCAGAGCAGGAACATACAGCACCAGCAAGGGGCATCACAACATACATTAATGTGCTTTAGTTAAAGCACATTAAATCTAGTACCACCATTGAGCATTTTTACAGATGCATGTGCTGCAGTACCGGGTGCTTTAAAAAGCACCTGGTGCTGTGACATGTACAGTTGTATAAGTGGCTAAACACATGACACTGCACAGAAAATAGTGGCAGTCCACTTTTGAACTAAAACACATTGAACATGTTTTAGTTCAAAAGCACACCACCACCATTTTCTCTGTTCTAACGTGCATTTCACCACTTATACGACTGCAAGTGACGCAGCGTGGTGAGCGTCAGCTTTCATGCAGAGCAGACTTGATTAATCTCTGGATCTCCACTGCATCACAATGCAAAAAAGTATGTGTATAAATGCCCATTGTGAGGTACTAGAAAAATGCACATTAGCTTTTCTTAATGCACATTAAGTAAAGAGCATAGTTTTTAAGTGACATTTAATGTTCATTAGCCTGTTTTAGTGCACATTAACTAAATAGCATGGTTTTTTAAGTGGTGCTTTAATTCACATTAAAATAGGCTAATACGCATTAAAGCACATATGTAGGTGCACTCTGAGTGCCTAAACATAAGTAATTGAAATATATTAGCATAAGAAATAGCACTGAATGTTAAGAATCAAAACCTAACCAAGAACATCTGGCAGAAAGTAGGGTAGAGATGCTCCTCAAATTAACTGAATCAGAGATTCAGAAATCAAAGAGCAAGAGTCCATTTCATCAGGTGCTATGAAACAGAAGCTATACAGAGAGCAGAGTATCAAATAGAGTGATCTAAATATAATAATCTATGGATTATTTCATGTTCCAAAGTTTCAAATTCACGTTGACTTTCAAAGTTCCTGCCATAATACCAACACTGAGACAAAAACAATAGAATCCATCTTGTTGTCACCTACAGCCCCCATTCTGAACATCTTGGACATGTGATTAATGACCTCCAACCCCTCCTGAAAAATGATGACCATTTCAAGGGAATAAATGTTTCCTGGCTTATAGACAGTCCTCCCAACCTCTAATGGTGTCCCTCAAGCAACCAACTACCCAGTTTCTATTATCCTGAGGCACTAGGCCTTGAAACAGACCCAGATACAAGCCATTGCCCCTTATCAATACAGAAAACGTTATCACTGGACCAAATAACATTCATTATAGGCAGACAAGGTTCTTTGAGTGGGTGTAATATCTTTTATTAGACCAACTGGGTAGTTGGAAAAAAAGTTCTTGGCACGCTTTTGGGTGCAGTTACCTGCCTATGTCCTTAGACCAACATGACTACAACCAAAAACCCAGTAACAATGATTATGGCATCTGAGATCCATTCACCTCACCGCTACTAACACCGTATGTCATAACCTGTGGATAGTGCCCATCTGCATCTGCATTGGACAGATGGGGAAATATCTCCAAGAAAGAATGAGGGGACACCATTCAGACATCAAGTCCGAACACACAAAAGTGTGTGGCAGAACAATTTAACCTTTCAGGACATGCCATCACTGACGTCAGAGTAACCCTTATTAAATAGCAGAATTTTAAAAGCTGATGTGAATACAAACATATGAAACAAGAAATCATCCACAGACTGGATTGTGTTAGGTATCATCCAAACAGGGACAATGGATTCTTATCTCACTACCTGGATTAGGTTTTTTGAGCCCTACGTCTTCATGGCTTTGTTACCTCTTTGCCTTTCCCAACACTGTTCCCTTTTCCCCTTACCACACTCCCTTCCATGTCTTCTGTATTCAAATCAATCCATTTGATAGCCTGTCCTGTGCATGCCCTTTCAGAGCTTCTAATGAAATGAGCTTTTGTTCACAAAAGCTTATGTATCTCTGATTCAGTCTATAAAGTGCATCTCTTCCCTGCCTTCTGCCTGACCAAACTAATGCAGCTAGTCATTTAATTACAATCTAGTTGTTGCCACTAAACTAAAAAACTCAAGTGTCTTTTATAAGCTCTTGAATTTCTTTCCTTAAGATCTTGCAATGGGTCACAGTCAAACACATCATTGGAGGAACAAAAGACTATAGCTATGGTAACTCTTGGCTGAATATGCTAATTTGACTACATTAGTACCTAACGGTGGTGCAGTCCTTGACTATTACCAGTGTGTATAGAGGATATTAACCTCTCTCTCATAAACTTTGAAGAACATCATTTGTAAATCGTTGGTAAAAAGTTCTTAAACAATTAATGTGTAACCCTTGCTGACCAGCCCCTTCCAAATTGCCTGATCTGAATGCTAGTTAAATTTATATTAACTTTCCTATGAAGTTATTCTCTTGAGAAGATACTTGATCTCTCTTTGTTCCATGATCCTGTCTGACAAAGCAAGCTTTGTGTCCTGATTTGGGGATAAAGGGCTTGCCTTTAACAGCAAGTGAACCCAGGGTTCTTTTGACTATGTTTGTCCATCCTTCCACACCAGGGCTTGGTATCGTACCTTTTTAGAACAGCAGCCTAGCTGAGCATTTGTGACCCAAGTGCCAACACAAGATGCTTGTCCCCTCCTCACACCACCAATCCCATTCTGCTCCCTTCCTATCCCTGCTGTGTGCCAGCCTCCACCTACCTGGTGCTGCCAAAACCATCCATTGACATTGTGAATGTTAAAGGGAAATGGCAAAGTTGGCAATGAGGACACAGAACCACAGGCTTTAAGTCATGGCTTCAACTCCTGCTCTACCCCATGTACAATGGCACTGAATGCCTATATCGTTTAGGGGCCTTCAGGGAGGTGATTTTTTATGTTTAAGAACTTTGGAATATAGTAACATATTACTATGATCTTCATATGTTAATGAAGATTATCATCAGATGTTTTGGCTCATCTAGTCCTGATATCATGGGCAAACACATTATATGTGTTGTGCCTGTGATATTATGTATGTTTGCCTTTTATAAACCAATCAACCTCCCCACTAAACCTAGTTAGTTCTGTCTCCACTATCCCTATTGGAAGTCTGCTCCAGAGCCTCCTGGCTTCTAATGGTTAGAAGCCTTCTTCTGCTTTCCGACTACATTTATTCATAACAAGTTTATACCCATTTTTTATTGCACTAGCCTTGTCCTTTAGCACAGCAGTGCCCAAACTCTGACAGATTGTGCACCACTAATTTAAAATGATACAACTTTACGTACCTCCAGTACATTTTTCAATTCAACCTTGAGTACCACCAGCAAATTTTTGTCATATAAAGTACTTACGATAAATCTGTTAACGCATACCATTGACAGGTTGACTGTGTACCACTGGTGGTACACGTACCACAGATTGGGAACTGCTGCTTTAGCAAAAATAGGTCTTTTATTTATTTGTTTGTCTTCCCTCCCTCAATGAATGCATAGGCAATAATCACATCCCCTCTTAGGCTTTATTTTGCTAGGCCAAATAAACCAAATTCTTTCAAACTCCTCTCATAAGATGGGTTTTTGCTTCCACTCATATGCGTCTAGAGTAATATGATAATTTGGTGTGCAATGTAAATATCTCTTGTCATTTAGTGAATGTTTAGCTTGTAGGTACTACCTGCCTATTGCTGAGTGAGCTTTGTTGCTTTCAGAAGACAATACAGACATCTCTTATGGGTTCATTGATTAGTTAATTGATTTGTCCTACCAGGTGGCTTCCAGGTATACCCCCTCCCCTGCCATTTCAATAATTTTATATTAAACAGAAAACACTTTATACATGCTATCCCTTCTTATTGCTTTTAAATGTCATTAACATAGGTTAACATTACATTAACATAAATTAACATAAATAATATGGTCCATACGGAATTGTATTATTTAGGTGCACAAAAGCAATATCTACCCTAGAGGAGATGCTGCTGCTCTTTTAACTATGCTGGCAGTGGCATTGCAACTGGATTTCCTGGTATAATTGCAAC